TAGTTTTTGAGAAATTTGCTTGGAACTAGACGTGGCCTTTTATTATATATAAATATACCAATTTTTAATCCTAAGTATAAAAAATAAAGTTTCACTTTATCAAACTTCATGAACTACTGTAAAAAGGATATATGACACATTTAATTTGCGCCGAAAAGAAATTTTTAATAGATTTATATATTTATTTTATATTTTTTTCCTCTTTCTCTCTCCTAAAGAACTCATTGCTTCTTTTCATTCTTCATCATTTATTTCTACTTTAATGAGAAACACAAGCGATCTTTTTCACATCGATACGCTTATCAATTTTATTACACGATATTACGTTGTAACGCCTGTAATTCCCAAGTATTTAAAAGGTTTAATAAAGCGGATTCGCGGCCACTTGTGAATGCGAGTATGAAACGTTTCACCAATGTTTTTTCGTGATATAAGCGAAGAAAAATGTATAATGCTGGGCAGATAGGAAATAACGGAGGTGGAAGAAAGGAAAGGGTTGTATGCGAATTCAAAGCCTCTGCGCCGCCGAGCGCTTCTTTGTTATATACCGGGCCTTCCTTTCTCTCTTCTCTATCCTTTTCATCCACTACACATTCTCTTTTCTCCTTTCGATAAACGCGTTTCTATCCGCTTCTACTCCTTCGTTCGGCTACGGTTTTACGTATCCGGCTTAATAAAAACGTTCGGCGCCTTTCTCATACCATTATGGCGAGCACTTACCATGTAACTGCTTTTTTCTACTTTGCATTTTTGTAATTTAATGTAGGTGTAGAATATATATCGAATGCTTTTAATCTTTTCTGTACATAAAAAATTAGGAGAATTTTGAAATGAAAAAATATATGCTCTAGTATAGGCAAAATTAATTGATCAATATGCTATGAATATATTTAAGAGATTTGGAGAATTTATAAAAGTTATAAAATTAATTCGTAAAATTTTTAAAATATTTATAAAATATTTATAAAATGTTTATAAATTATTTACAAAATATTTATAAAAATAAATTAAAGTTTTAAATTGAATAATTTTAAAATTTTATATATAAATATATGTAATATTTTGTAACGTATAATATAATATATAATAATAAAAATATTACTTCGAAAACCATTGAAAGAGAGGATGAACATAAGAAAGAGAAAAGTTACATTCAAAAATCAAAGAAATTCAATTGTGTGTTATTTGTTTAAATATTGAGATTATTTTCTACCACTCTGCTTATAGTTTCCATTGCTAATTACATTTTTTATGTAATGAATAAAAAAATTAAATGAGTAATAAGTATAAAATTGCGGAAATCTGATTATGGGTTAAAAATATGTCGACGTAACCATATATACATATTATTATAGATGAAGTGTTCCTTCTCATAACTCGGTTCTTTTATTATACGACATAAACGCTCGTCACAGATGGCCAGGCAGAAATTAAAGAAATTTGCATAATCGCGAAACTGTATTGTTACTGGCAACTTTGGTCAGACATTTTGCTAATCTACCCTTTAATTAAGCAAATATGCAAGCATCTGCGTTACCAGATGTATACTGTATGCATTTTTCTAATATTTCTTGCCACTCCGCTTGATTATTAAATATATTACGAACAACGATAACCTTCCCCTTCTTGCTTTTTATCTTATTTCCAAGTACAAGAATCCGAAAAAATTATAAGGGAGTAAAATAAAAAATATGAGAAGCTGAAAAAAAAAATCTTATTGAAGATTTATACATAATTGTTTAGCTTAGAGAAAACTTTGTGTTAGTATTTGTTTTTGTGAGAAATTTCGAGATTAATATAATCTGAGTAAGAGAAACATAATAAATTGGCAGCAATGGAATTGATTTTCTTTTCCACAGAAAATTGCTACAAGACACGCAGGATAGACCTTTACGCTCTCGATTCGTCTGTGTCGCCCTTAAATCGCTCACTCGAATCGATTGTAGAAAAGTGCAAGGAAGTTTCGATTTATACAGAGCAACCAATCTTAGAAACATTTATTATTTCTTTTAGACAATTTAGAAACTATCAAATAGAATATCTGCTATGTCTGTACATATTGCAAAATAATAGTATATATATTTTAAACAATTCTCTCTCTTCTTTTTTCATTCTTTCTCTCTTTAACAGTTCAAATTATTTAAATTTAAAAAATAAAAATAATCATTTAATCGCTTTGTTATTTACATTTAATCATTTAAAGTATTAAAATATATATATATATAATAATGTGAAGATAATACCTATATAAGGAAAATTTTGTGAATTATATAACAAAAGAAAAATAAAAGAAAAGAAAGTATCTATATATTGATATTTTTTGCTATATAATTTAATAAAAAATTCTCCTTATAATATATTATACACAAATGTATGCATTACGTTTGTTTTTGAAAAGAAGAAAAATGTATTGCAATCTTTCTAGAAGCTATAATCTATTACATATTGACATGAGAGAATATGCGAGTTATAAATATTCTCGATCCTAGTATTCCGCGTTTCCAATTTTGCTTCTGTCATACAAGCGATGTAGAGATGAATACACAAATACATATAAGGATGGTCGCGAGAAGTGAGACGGCTTCGATATATCAGAACAGTCGGAAAACGGGACAACGCGTTGTAGTAAGCACAATAAAACGTTCCCAACTTCCCTTTGCCTGCCGTGCGCCACCGAAACTGGCGTCCCACCCGTTTTTTCGATTATAAACTGCTAGACGAGCGCAGCAAACGACGTAAGCATCGTCGATTTTGCTGGCGCATGTAAATCGATAGACACCGAAAAAATTGCAAAAAATTCGGCCGAGATGGAAAAGAGGAAGAGCACGGAGAGAGAATGGGGACAGCGATGAAAAAATTGTTAACGCCTATCCTAGCGCCGACATTTCAAACGAACGAACAATCACGGTGGGCGTGAGCTTTTCCGGAAGCTCGATTAAAAATACCCATAAAGCCAGATGAATAATATCGATCACTAGCAATCCAATTGGATTCCGCAAAGATTCGTTATACTTACACGTATACTCCAAATTTCTTTTATTAACTGAGCGTTCCAAAAAAAAATATATAATATTCTCTGAAATGTTTTTGTTGACTGGAAACGTGCATAAAATTGCATATTTAGGAATTAGAAATATTTTAATAAATATTTAAAAGTTAGGGGTATTGTGAGAAAAAATTGTTAAAATAAAAGAACTTTTATATAAATACTTTACATGCATTATCTATTTATATATATTCATTTATTTATAATTGTTTTGCATATTATATATTATAAATAAATATATATATATATATGTATAATTTTCTTTTAAACTTTATGTAAAATACTAAAATAGGTAATGAAAAATCAGAGCTATTTTGGAGAAAAGAGAAGTAGTGATAATATGATGATGTATTAATGAAGTTCGATATAATACACATATCGTGTTAAATCGCAGAGCCTGGGAATGGCCAGCCGCTTCCATCTCTATTCGCACTTCTTTTGTCCGACGTTCATACGTATAGATTTTACCCTCTGCCGCGTATTCTTTCTCTCCGTTCCTCGAAACTCGACGAAGCCGAGGGTGGAGGGACGCAGATAACGGTTTTAATTCCGTGCGAATAGATCGACGTGCGAAAAAACGGTCGGGAGAATCGCCGGAGAAGCGGATTGATGGACCGGGAACAATGGTTAACTTCGGAAGTAATCGCTTAATTCCTGAATTCTAGCTAGCTTCCACCGTCTGGTTAGATCTCGTATTGCGTGCTTTCCGGGGAAAATCTTGCTGTTTCCCTTCCTTTTCCCTTTAAATTTATGTCATTATGTACAAACATTAAATTTTTTTAATCTTCTTACACGCAAATTATCCTCTTTTCCTTAACAAAAATTGAGCAAGAAAATCTCTTGTACATTTTTTATCATTTCTTTATCAATACATAATCATATTAATTTTATCATTATATATAATAAAATTTGAGTATTATTTCATTAGAATTTCATTATATGTATGTATATTCCATTAGAATTTGTGCATCAATTTTGGAATTCAACATTTATAATTTTGACAATTTTTAAATTTATTTTATTATTTTCTTTATTATGATTTTATCGATACAATTCTATTATTTTTCTTATTTATATATAAATTTGAATATTATTTTATTACAATTGTGCATTAATTTTGAAAAGTCAACGTTCCATAATTTTGATAATAAAAAACAAGTGGCGCGAGTTTACATTCCGAATGAAATTTTGAACGTAGAATTCTCTCCTGTGAATAACTTAGAGATCGAGCGTAATCACGGTGATTTCCCATGACATGTCGTGGCGCGACACTCTTTTTTTCCTTTTCTCTTTGTTTTCACCCTACCAGTCCCGTGATACGCGGCAATAAAAGGCACTTCGAACCGAAGTAGAACGAAGTAAACAATAGCATCCGGCGTAACGAACAGCCGCTTTGCCAGTCGGTTCTTTTGCTATATAAAACTTTCGTCGCGGTAGCGCACTTGCTGAGCAACTTTCCCAAAAGCGTTAGGAATTATCGACAAAGAAAGACATTAATTTATTCTACTCCCTTCGTCGTCAGACGATACCGTTTTGCCTGCCGAAACTCATTAACCGTGAACAAAAAGTAAATTAAATTACGTTTCAAGAATAAAACATGAATACTATTGCATCTCATACATATATACAGTTGACATTACAAAAGAAAATAAATCATATAATATGAATATAGAATTATGCAATTTTAGACATGATTAATAAAATAAGCGTGTAATAATTTATCAAAAATACACTGCTACTTTAACTTCCAATAATTCGAAGATATGTCGCATAATATACAATATATTTTTACATGTATATTATTTTATATATATTTATTTTATTATTATGTATTCACATATTTAAAAAAATATATTTTACATTTAATTTATTTAAAAAGTTAAAAAATATGTGAAGCGAGAGAGAGAGAGAGATTTATAATATGGAATATACCAATCGTGAATTATGTACTTACGAGCTCTGTATCTATGCCAGCACCATCCCGGATGTTTTCATGATCGGTACCAGCACCATTGACCATCCCAGCACTTGAACCGGTTCCACTCGCGCCTGCTTTTCCACCAGCACCGCCGGCTGGTGTTTGCGGTAAACTCTGAAAAATAAAGAAATTGATGATGTAAAAATCTCTGAAGTCACCAGATGATAATTAAAAATGGTAGTAATTTAATCAACCAACTCTGGCTATTTAATAATCTTTATTTAATATTCACGACGTTTCGGCCATGGGTTTCGGCCCTTATCAAGTGCTAAAACACAACTTTCTATATAGAAACTTAATTTCTGATCTTAAAATGTGACATGATATAATGTGAAACAATTAACTATGATAGATAGTTAATTGTTTCACATTATATCATGTCACATTTTAAGATCAGAAATTAAGTTTCTATATAGAAAGTTGTGTTTTAGCACTTGATAAGGGCCGAAACGTCGTGAATACTAAATAAAGATTATTAAATAGCCAGAGTTGGTTGATTAAATTACTACCAAAGAAATTGATCTTTGAACTAAATATAATCGACATATGTGTACGCATATATATTTCTAATAAAATTAAATTCGATATTATGTGAATTTTTTTATGACTTTGTAATTATACTGAAGAAGACCGCGTGCGGTCGAAACGTTTATTTTATTATTTTAGAATGACTGTATTTTTTGCGTAAGTTGTCATATTGAATGATTGTAGCTTAATAATTTATACATGAAATAAATGTCATTGGACTGAACAACTCTAATATAATTGCTCGATAAGTTGGCCTTTCATTTATCACTTTTGTATTTCAATATACGAGCGAATCTTTTTTTTTGTATCAATTGATATTTCTAATAAATTTCCATAAACAATTGTTCGTAAAATAAAAATAGTAGCTCGTAAAATCATTTACTCTAGTCGCTACATCGTATATATACAGTCGCGAAAATAAATAATCCTCTCTATTTTGTGAGATGAGCCATCCGTCGAATTTACATCGCCGTTGGGAGTTCGATAACGCGACGGTGGCCCGATTTGTTTCCCGTCGAAATCCGCACTGAAATCTCTCGCCTCAATTTCGCCCCGGCGATATCGTTCCTTTTATTCGCAACGTCTTGAAGCTTTCTTCGTCTCTCGAACTTTTCTCCTCGCGGCGTTTCTATAGCGAGCAAAGCTGTACGAACCCCGGCTTTTACGAGGGGGATTAGGCGGTGTAAAGGATGGTCGTAAAGGGAAATTTCGCCGATCGGGACGAGAAAAATAGCCACCGAGACAAAGCAATTTGTATGCACCGGGGAAATGCGCAACGCCGCGCGACAACATTATGTACTATCGACTTCGCCCCATTCCCCCATTAATGGAATCTCAGTATGCGTCGACTAGGTGTGGCTCTCTCCGACGAAAGGATTACGATGCGGTCTTTAAATCAATTTCCAGCCAACGTGATAGAACTTCTTCGGGTTCTCCCAACATCAGGATTGATCGCCTGCCATTCGCGTCCTGGATAAACATCGCGAAAACTTTTCACGTATAACATCCAGTTGACGAGCGTTCCCGATGACAGGCGGTAATTTTTGAATAATCTACTCCAGGCGCACCCAGATCTCTCGCGAGACGAAATGTACGACATATTATTTTTTAAGTAAGATTGATTCGGTTTTTCTTTTTTTTAACCATCGCCTATCCATCCGAAATTTGTTCGTACATGCTCTGAGGTGATGCCTTTCCTATTTCGCATTTCGAACTGATGTCGATGCAAAAATATATCAATCTTTGACAATTTATGTAATGTATTATTTTATATTTTATGTGTGATCGAACTAACCAGTGAATTCACTTTTATTTAATTCATAAATATTTTTATAATACAATTATTCGTTATATTTTAATCCTTGTATTACATCAAAGAATTATAAAAAACATTTTAAAATGTTTTTTTTTAATTAAAAGAAAGGATATCTTTTTCAAACATTCCTGTCACTATGTTAATGTGATGACTTGACTAACATTTAATCAGTAACTCAAAGTCAACTACATATTATTCCTTCTTTTTCTAAACTCTAATTAAAACGGATGTTTCTTCAAAGATTTTAAATAAAAAAGAAGATTTCATATAATGAAGAAATAATAATACATTAATATAAGGAACAGTAATTGCATTTTATAATCTAAAAGCTAAAAACAGATAAGTGTGCTGGCTATAGGGAAAACAAAATTCTTGATTAAAGAAAGATTTTCATTAAAAACTCTTTTAAGAAACAGGACTAATTAATATTTTATTATATAAGGTAATATTACATGATACTTTTTCTCCCCTTAAATGTATACGTGGTGCGCGCCTTAAACGTCAAAGTGGTACGAGTGAGATCGATGAGTAAACAGAGAATAAAGACATTCTTCGTCAGACTCACAGAGTTCTGAAGATGAGATCGACTATGGGAGAAAGATCCGAGTTAAGGTTAGCTATTGCCTCCGCTTTTCGACTCTATCATTTCACGTCGGCATCGTCGTGGTGTTTCGTGTATTGGTAATAGTGCAAAGTGCTCTTCTCGAAGTAATAGCAGCCCGAAGACGGACCCTTTAAGCGATGTTGAGCACTTTACGACCGCTCTTTATAAGGACACCTTACTCTCCGAAGCGCGCGCACACGACGCCAGAGCGTTTCTCATCTTTCTCAACACTTCCGAACCCGATTCACTTACGCGCGACTCCGGAAAAAAAAGCAGCCCGAGTATATACAAGGCGGAAATTCTCCTGAGAGGCAGTTGCTGTGCGGCGACCGCAGCGTTTTTATCTTCATAATCGATAGAACGGTGATTAAAAGAAAAAGTAATTCCCATTTTTCGATCGATCTTGCAACTGCAACGTACAGTCGCGCTCTCATTAAATTCTATCCAATAATATAAGTTTCGATCTGTTAATTCAATTTTAACAAAATATTTTTTTATAATTACGATAGCCGATAAAGAGTTGAAAAATTTCCTAACAAGTATGTACTCAATATAAGTATAAAATGTGTATTTATTATATTATAAATTCATTATCTTATATTCGAATCTTTTACATTTTTTGCATTGTTATTCCATAACTAATATTTTTTATTTTCTATACACTCAATGGAATAGTGATTAAAAAAAATAATTTCTGAGAAGTTGATTAAAATTGTATATTTCATGATGTCTATAATAATGGCTAATAATTTTTATATCATTTTTGTGAGAAAAGAAGAGACATAATATCTCATAATTCTCACTAGTAATGTTTCGTGATAAAGAAGAGAAATTCCAATAATCAAGAAAGTTAGAAAGAATGTCTTTTATGTTTCGGATCAGATGGCTTTAAAAAACAAAAGAAGAGATGTATATTACAATTTTAATAATATTAAACTAGTAATATTAAACTAGTATTAAAATAGCTAGCATTACTGCGTGTTACGTAATGTTCACTGTCTAAGTAGTGCTCCTTGTAATGCTCACTAATGCCCAGGCAATGCCTACTAATGCTTACTCTCTTCAAGTAATGCTCACTAAAACTAAAGCAATGCCTAGTAATGCCCTCAGTCTATGCATTACAATGTCCTGGGTAGTAATTTCCGTTTTTTGATTGATCTGGCAAATTCAAAGTGCGCAAACATTCTCGTTCATTTCAACAATAAATTTTAGATTTTCAATTATATGATGTTGTAGATGACGTTGGTGAATTAAATTGCTTCGAGGGAATTCATTCTATAAATAATTATAACAATATCCGCCTCGTTATTATATAATAATTTAGGTCATCAATTTCATTGTTTCTTATCTTTTAATTTTTTCTTTTATTTCTTATCACTTGATACACAATTTTCAAATTTTCTGAGAAGAACATTTTTCGGATAATGAGGTAATTAAGATCATAATGAAACTAGCTTCTACGCGACATCTTATATCGGCGTGAACTATCTTTTGCCCGCGCTGGCTTTATCGATGAGCAGAGAACGAAAGAAAAAAGGATAGCGTTTCGCAGTCACCGGTGCGCTTGAGAATTCTTCTATAATAAAACTGAATTTTCTCCCAAAGACCGTAAAGTGCATCATAAAAGAGCAACTAACGCGGTTCCGAGAGTTCGTGCGCACTTGAAGGTGCAAAGGAGATGTTTGCGAAATAAAACGTAGCGCGGAACAGAAGGTTGACAATAGACAAAGGAGTTTGATGTCCAAAAAGAATAGCCTATTAAATAGTTATAAGATTTCATATTTATAAAGGCAATAAAAAATAGTGATAGGTTAAATAATAACAAAAGTTAGCCATATATTGTTAAAATCATTTATAATTCATGAATAATAGAAAAATCACGAAGATACTTTATCATTATTTTCATAATAATTCAAATATAAAATTATTATTTTCTCTCAACTATATTTTTTCGCCATTATTCGTTCCTGCCGTAAAAGCATGTATTATAAATAATTTACTTAGCATCTAGAAATATGTTTTTCTTTCGGATAAATATATATATATATATATATATATATATATATAATCGATTTATGCGCGTGATTATATGGATAAAAATTTATTATCGTACAGTATATTTTTTTGCCCGAACTCATACTTCTTCTATCAAGAATTAAAATAAATATAAATAACTTAAATTTAAAGTTTGAGATCTTTTTTTATTATATTTTTAAAGTATTTTATCAAAACAGAAGAATTTATTACTACGAAAATAATTATTTAAATTCATTCTATCAATTTATAAACACTTGTCGATACCTCGCTATTGATGTCTGATTATTCGTTGACTTGAACTACTGTGCATGAATATCATATCCTGAAAGACCACTCAGAATGTATTTTAAAATATTTCTTTACATATTGTACTGATCACCAATACATATAATCTGCTGTAAAATGCAACAATATCGTAAAATGCAGAAATATTTTATACACAGTAGTTCGAGTCAACGAATAAGTAAACATCAATAGCGAGGTATCGACAAGTGTTTTAAATTGATAGAGTAAAATTAAGTAATATAAGAGTGTTTATAAATTATATATATATATATATATATATATATATATATGTATGTATGTATGTATGTATGTATATGTATGTATATATAACATTTTTCAAAATGA